AAACCGGTCACCCAGCAAGCGAAACCATTTATATTTACATTTTAATATGTTGGGGTTATCAGTATTTTTCTTGCTCCAGTATCGCATGCTCCACATTCAGTTGCGATGAGTCGAAAAGTTTCGGGGAAATTTAATCGGATGATGCGAGCATCAGGTTGGTAGTGTTGTAGAAAAATGATAATAACGGAGACCGAGGGACCGAAGATTCACCTACGCAACTCATTGCATTGGAAACCTGAAAGGGACAGTGGAAAAATGACGCGGAAAATAAAAGAGATATAGAGATAATAATAAAAATAAAAGAGATATAGACATAATAATAACAATGATGATGAAAATAACAATAATGATGATGATGATGCTGCTGATTATAATGATGATGCTGCAGATAATAATTATTATGATAATGATAATAACAATAACATTCACGATAAAAGTGACAATAACGATAATAGTAATGATGATAATAAAAACACAACCATAGGAAGTATACCAAAATAAATTAATTGAAATGAAGCATGTTTTAAAAATATTTATTAACCATGCAGGCAAAGAATAAATTGCTCTGTAAAGTTAAGTAATCTTATCAAACCATTTATCTATCCCTTTCGTTCGGTATATGAAGGACTCCATTCCATGCACGGAGTCAGTCAATTACTCATTTATTTTACATTCATTCATTACTATATTCCAACAATCAATCGATCAATCAATCTATCAATTAAACAACAAATCAATAAACCAGCCAATCAATCACTCAACTTTAAATCAATTAAATAATCAACCAATCAATCAACTGATCTTCTAAAACAACATGACTCTGTGTCGGGCCTACTACATCAATCAATCCATTAATCATTTTGCCTTGTTTTATATATTGTCATCGTTGTATAGGAAATCATGCACTAGTTTAGTTAGTCAGTATTATTGTTTGACCACATTCATTGCAAATTTTCGAAACATTTCCACAAGTAAATTCGACAAGTAGTAGACATAGTACACATTTATAATCTTCATGTATCATTGTCTATATGTTTAGTTTCGGTGTCAAAGAAAACTCTATAATAATGTATTCTAATGTTCGAAAATCTTTTTCAATTTCTTTTTTATATTTTGTATTACTTCGATAAGAGAAAGTGATAGTTTTCGAGTTGGGGTCACCCCAAATGGGTATTCTCTTTTTAATTGTGAAATTAAAATATATCCATAATCCTGATGCAATTATGAAGGGGAATATATGTAATCGTTACAGATTTCCCTTTTGAGCTAACAAAAATATCGCAATGAGATTATTACAGGTTTCTATTTTTTTTAAATCAAAGTAATTAATATATTATTTTACCAAATAATGATTTCAGTTTGCCTATAGATCTATAATGATCGATATTATTTATGCTACCATTTTGCTATAATAGTGTTTATAATTATGTTCTAAAAAGTAATCGTCAGGCATAGTTCTAGAATAATACATATTTTTCGGGGGGGGGGGGGGGCTTGCATTTATGTTCTACATGCCCCTCGCTGAAATTCATAAAAAAACTAAGAATTTTGTGTGGGTGGCTTGAAAAAAGTTGAAAGAGGGGCCTGAGTCCCATAAAGCCCACCCTCCTCGCACCAGAACCGCCAAAGCATTTAAACTGTTTATCTATAATGTTTATGTTAATTATTTTCTTCCTTTGCATGTGTAATAAACTCGTGACTAAAAATGAGATAATACTCCACCATCCACGTGACAGCGAGACAGCGCCAGAATAAAGAAAGTGTTGTCATCAATGGCTCTCAGGGCGTTTCAACATTTTATAAAGGTATTTCACAAAGATTGCGAAACGAATTTCGTGGAATTCATCAATCAGACCAGACCTCATCCCATTCTCCTATTTTCTCTCACCAATGCGTGTTCATTCTTGTTGTGTTTGTCACCTTACTTAACAGATTTAAAAGCTTTTTGAGGACATCTATGACATTCTTTTATCTTTTCTTTTTTTCGGTTTGGGGAGATTTTAGACAAGAGAGAAATTGAGCATGATTGCATGATATTGATAAGGCGATTTATTTTTATTAAGGCTTTGAGGTTTTGTTTTTTATTGCAAAGGAGGTACGCTTTAAATCTTTAAATCGGACACAAAATGTTACCTGATAGAGATTGCATGACTAATTTTGCTGATGTAATCTTTGCAATTTATTCATGATATTGGGCAATTTTTTAAACGAAACCTTTAAAAAAAAAAAACAGTTTGCTTCTTCACAAAACCTTTTGAATAGTTTTTGGATGGGTCTTTGTGAAATAGGATTATTTGAGTCGACTTTTTCGTCATGAGCGCAGTGGAGTATATTAAAAAAGTAGCTGCGCTATGTAATGATTGATCTAATTATAATTGTTTTCATAACTTGTATAATGCGATTCGGTTTCCGTGGCAACCGTTCTGATTTGGTATGTTCAGTCCTGTACTGCTTTACTTCACTTTGCGGTACAATTAAGTTTTCCTTGATTTGATATTTTCATTGTCATTGTCATTGTTACTGTGCAAAACGAATTTTCTTCTTCTTCTTTTTCTTTTTCTTTATCTCCTTCTTGTTCTTGTTCTTGTTCTTCCTCTTCTTATTATTATTTTTGTTGTTGTTGTTGTTGTTCTTCTTCTTCCTCTTCTTGTTCTTGTTCTTGTTCTTCCTCTTCTTCTTCTCTTTCTTCTTCTTCTTCTTCTTCTTCTTCTTCTTCTTCTTCTTCTTCTACTTCTACTTCTTCTTCTTCTTCTTCTTCTTCTTTTTTCTTTTCTTTTCTTCTTCTTCTTCTTCTTCTTCTTCTTCTTCTTCTTCTTCTTCTTCTTCTTCGGCTTCTTCTTCTTCTTCTTCTTCTTCTTCTTCTTCTTCTTCTTCTTCTTCTTCTTCTTCTTCTTCCTCTTCTTCTTCGGCTTCTTCTCCTTCTGCTCCTCCTCCTAATCTTCGGATTGTCGTTGTTATTTTCTATGTAGGTACTATTTATGCTTATTTAAAATAAATATTAATATAATCATCGAATCATTACTAGCAACATCGATAATCAATACTGTCGACATCATTTTCGTTTTCATAATCATCATCAACATCATCGTCTGAAGGAAATGGCGATTTTCTCCTCTCTCCGAAATTTCCACTCGGTTTTGACCATCGTGGGAATAGTCGTGAGTCATACGGGTGTTTCATTCGATTTGGTCCATACTTTGGATTCTGTCTTCGAGCAAACAAAAGAAAAGACATTCAGAGGCGTTCATTCATAAAATAAATGAATGGCTATGCAGTCTGTGATCTTACCAGACGTTTCATTGACTTTAAACTTGTCTTACTGTGTATTGATGATGACATAGCGGGTTGAAACAGCTGGAAAGAGTCTGGCGTGTCGGACGAAGAATTGATGACATCATGCGAGGTTCCCTCGATTGGTGGAAAATGACGTCAACTCTTTCACTGTGTGCAGTAAGTCGTAGTCTCGGAGCAACAACTGCCATGACTTGCATCATCATCATCACCATCATCATCATCGTCATCATCATCATCATCATGGTCATCATCAAGCTCCACATCGTCGTAAACATCGCTGCTGTATGTGTCATTAGCCCATGTTACACATTCAGTTGCCAGCTGCATGCAGATATATTATTTACAGGGTTTATTCAAGTTAACTGATGGCTCACAAAGGCCTTTTAATATTTAACTATAAGTTTCAGAAATTAGACAAACAAACAAACAAACAAACAAAAAAACAAACAAACAAACCCGAAGTTCCAGGAGACAGAGACTTTTAAATTACTTTTTGTCCCCCCCCCCTCCCTTTGGTTTCGCTGATCTCTGAGTTAGAAAAGGTTAAGTTAGCCCCGTCGTCACTGGCTATAATTGAAAAGGAAAGAAAAAAAATGAAACAAACAAACAGGACCCCCCCCGCCCCCCAAAAAAAAAAGAAGGAGAAGAGGAAAAAATAGTAGTAGTAGTAGTAGTAGTAGTAGTAGTAGTAGTAGTAATAGTAGAATTATTATTATTATCATTATTACTATTATTATTAGCAGTAGTAGTAGTAGTATTAGTAGTATAGTAGAAGTAGTAGTAGTAGTATAGTAGTAGTAGCAGTAGCAGTAGTAGTAGTAGTAGTAGTAGTAGTACAAGTAGTAGTAATACTTATCATTGAAGAAAAAAAATACAATAAAAAAATACTTTGTTTACCAAGGGAAGCCTCATTAGTTTCAATTCTGTTCTCCCTGAGTTAAATGAATGAAGCAAAAGGAGTAGAAAAGAGAGAATAAAAAACAAAAGAAATAGAGGAGAGAAGTGAGGATAGAGAGAGAGAGAGAGAGAGAGAGAGAGAGAGAGAGAGAGATCAGTGTATTTCATGAAAAGGGGAAGAAGCATAAAAAGAAGATGAAGTGAGAGGTTATGAAGGAAAAATATTTTTTAAGGGGGGGGGGGAGGGAGGGAATAAAGGGGAAGATAACAAAATAAAGAACAGATAATTACTAAGCATGGAGATACTTAAAGCTTATCTGCCGTAGTTTGCAGGAGGGATTAGACTGCCCTACAAGGTCACTGGACAGGTGGTTATCTCATCAACTCAGCTCTCAATTAACATAAGAAAAAGAGGATCATGGGGGACCAATGGTCACCGATTAGGCATTGTTTGTTATATAGAGGGCGCAATTAGCTACAAGTAGTGCAGTAGGCCTTTAACAGGATGGTAGGAGTGAAGTGATAGACGAATTTGTATGAATAGCATGGTCTACCTCTAACTGATATGAAATACATAAATATGGTCTAAAGATTTAACAATAATCTAAAAACATGATGAAAACGGTGGCGGATTGTTTAGAATGTGTAATATAATATATCTTTTTATGTTCCAAACACCTTTTACATAGAAAACTCCAACCCATGCCCAGCGGCTTCTAGTATTTTTCATCATCTTAAAGAAAGAGACTAAAATGTGGCTGAATGTGTAGACTACTCTTTCGTTCCATTATGTCGATGGAGGAATCCCTTGCCGATTCGCGATCAACCTGCCCCAGCGACTCGGCTACCGTGTGACGACCGACCGTACGCATCCCGTATCTTCGTACATAGGAGTGTGTGGGAAGTCTGCCGAAACACCTTCGAAGGACTCGGCAAAATTTTGGATTTTGGCAACAGAGTGGGGAAGTGGCACCAATATTGTGACAAAATGGTGGACGAAGGAGAAAGATCGCATGTGTCTGGTGCTGTGGGATTGTCGGGATTGGAATGTCAGGGCTTTTAACAGCAGGAAAAGTGAGATGTAACGAAAAAGGTAAGTTCGGGTTTAGTACACCGGAATAGAAGTCTAGATTCCTTCCCGTAGTAGAAAGCTGAATACGACGAAGATCCGTATGGAAGTTACACATTCAGTGCATCACCTGTACATTTGTGTGGTAGAGACAGGCGAAATGCCCGGGCAAAATGCCGGTAAACAACAGCTGGTTTTGCACAAAGTGGTTCAGTATGAAACTATGAATTGTTTTCAACATGCCATTTTTTGTAATTGTTAACAAGAAGTTCTGATCAGTATTGATAACAATGGTTTCCACTTAATCGCAGTGGAACGATTGTGATAAACTGTGATGTAGTCATTTGGAATTGTGTTGTGCAGGTCTTGATCTTGGGTTAATTGCACTAAATTTGCATGAATATGAATTGTTTTTCAATCATAAACTGAACTAATTTAAAAGTGTCTCCTGATGAATTGTTATAATGTTTTAATGCAAGAATCTTCAGGAGTGATCAAGGAGGCAGAGTCAACACAGAAGAAGAGATGGAGAAAAGAGAAGAAATGTGAGTCAGAGAGAGAGAAAGGGTGGTCCTAGATGAAGAAAGAAAGAGATTAAATATAGAGAGAGAGAGAAAAAAGAGACGGAAATCCATGAATATCCATTCAATATGCTCATCTTCAGTGCCAGAGTAAGAACTAATCACCACCACGGTCCACCACCTTGTCATGAAGAATTATTAACATTACAACCTTTATCAACTGTATGATTAACACTATAAATATCATTGTTAATCATCATCATAATCAATTAATCATCGTCAATTATCACCATCATCAACCATCACCACTATCATCAATATTTGTTGATTACCATCATCATAAATAATCATCAACATCATCACCATCATCTTCAATCATCTTCGCCACTATCATCATCATCAACTTCACAGTCTTCTCCATCTTAATCACCACCATCATTATTTACCACCACCCCAACACCATCGTCTCTACCACCACATCACCAACACCATCATCACCATCATCACCTTCAGCATCATCACCATCATCATTGCCACCATCATCATTCATCATAATTATCACCATCATCATCACCACCATCCTCATTACCATGACAACCATGATTGCCACTACCAAGACTCTGCTCTTTTAGCCTTACCTTTGGTTTAGAAGAACTTCAGAGCTCATGATTGATATATTTTAAGCCCAGGAATAATGAAAGTTGCGCAACTTTGATGCTTAATGTGCTAATAAAACCTGTCCAGGGTACATTATTGCACAATCCTATGAAAATCTACTATGGGGTATATTCAATTACTTATAGTTTTAATGAGACACAGATTTATTTCTGTGTGACTTCATTCGTGACAAACAAGTTTTATGATTATGATAATTAGAGAATTGTTGACATGTTCAGAGAGCCTGTATTTCATTTGGGATGGCTTCTGTTGATGCCATCACCAGTTGCTACGACTACCCTGGATGCTGATGATGAGAGCCTTGTGTCACTTTACCAGAGCTCCATGAATATTATAGTCCTGGACTTTTTAAATGCTTATCTGCTGTCTATCGGTAGGTGTTTGGCGCATGTACTGTACATGTAGGTATCTATAGGTAAAAATGAATAACAATAGTGTACAGGCGTGTTTTAAACTTTTGGTAGCTTAAAGTGTAATGTGCAGATGATTTTTGAAGATGGTAATAATGGTGATGTAATAAAGAAGGTGTGTTGATGTCTTAAGGAATTTTTTTTTCATGATGATAGTCATGCTTAACATAATAGCATATTCTGTACAGTGTACATGTAGGTAGAGATCGTACAGATCATGATGATATAATTATTAAATCATTAATCATGTTGATCTGTGCTATCACAATAACGATGTTGTTGATGATGATGAAAAAGAAAAAGCAAGTGGAAAGAAGGAGGAGCAATATATAAAGTGTGGAAAAAAGGAGGAGAAGGAGGAGGAGGAGGAGGAGGAGGATGAGGAGGAGGAGGAGGAGGAGGAGGAGGAGGAGGAGGAGGAGGAGGAGGAGGAGGGGGAGGAGGAGGAGGAGGAGGAGGAGGAGGAGGAGGAGGAGGAGGAGGAGGAGGAGGAGGAGGAGGAGAAGTTGAAGAAGAAGAAAGGGAGGAGAAAGGAAGGAAAAGACGAAGAAGATGATGATGATGAAGATGGTTCTAATTGAGTTCTAATTGAGTAAGGACAAGGTTGATGATGATAATGCTAATAATGAAATTATGAGAATGATGATGGTGAGATGATGAAGGTGATGGTGATGAGGAATGTACCTGACTCTTCAGCATGATAATTTGAAGGAAAAAAAAAAGAAGCTCAATTCATGATTATAGAGATTAGAGAGTAATGATATATTTTGGTAATAATGGGGAAATATTCAGTCTAGTAACACATTCAAATTGTTTCTTTAAATTTATAATGTCATTTACTTCCATGTCCACCAATATGTCTATTTTTCCCCTCTCAAACACACTCGTTTCTGTATGAAATTGCACAAGAATGAGAAATGTCGAAAACAAATTATCGATGATGACTCAGGTGAAATATTCTGCACTCTGCAGGTAACTTTGGAGTGAAGGTGGATTTGCAAAAGAACTGTCAGTCAACATCTATTCATATTCTGATGTTGCCATGGCAACTTTCTGGGAGGAGAAAAAACGAGCGAGCAATAGAGCTTTACTGTGCACCTCAGTAAACTTCAATGCAGGAGGCCTGCAGTAGGCTACTGTACATGAGAAGAAAAAAAAATCACCATTATGTGTAGAAGCTACCTGATTCTGTTGAGTGTGCGGCTGTATTAGGATGTATTCGTGAAATTATAATTTGTCACATATGTTGCGTTCCCTAGCCCCACATGTGCACATGTGTGAGGTGTCATGTTTCAAAACTGCAACACATGTTTGTGTTTTCTACTCTGTCATAAGAATGAATAATAAATCCATCCTTAGTTGGTGAAAGGTTACATGATTACATTGTCTTCAGAGAGCAAGAAGGTCATTTGCCCATACACTTTACATACAGTTAATGCCCTTATTGCTCTGAAATGACAATATCTCACTCTTGTCTTCAATTTGTGACATGTACTCTTACACCACTACATAGGTGCTAGCACAAAGTCAAATAACAGATGAATTGGGTCTGATGGATGGAGACTAAGCATACATGTGTGTTATCTATTGCAGACGATGACTCATCCTGGCAAGGCTATGTACAGCACATAACCTCATAATCATCTAGTCTGCAAAAGGAGACCCTATTTTGTAATTTGATAAAATGATTAGTAGTGTTGTTGACCAATTGTTAAAAAGTGCCTAGGATATCTTAGAATGGATTAGTGGAATATACTTCAGGCATTTTGAGAATAATTCCTTGTACATGTAGCAGCAAGGTTGTGTATAACTGTCATGGTATTTAATTTATAAAGAGAAAAATGTCTTTCTCCGTGATATGTTAAAATTGTTAATATAATTTTGGCTAGATATCCTTTATAATAACTTTAGGCACATATTGACCCTACGTATAAATTGATATTTATATTCCATGTTTAAATTTTAAGGTAACATTATTTAAAAACATTAATCTACTGTGATAATTTGCCAGCCACCCACAAACCCACACACAAAATGTTCACAGGCATTAAAGGAAATTGTGAACACATGTATTTTCTACATTTTTTTTGGGGGGGGGGGGAGGGGGGGGGGCTGGTGTTCATTACCAACAGGTGATTGTAATTATGGTAACATGAATAGATACATTTTCCCTAGAGTAATATGAGCCCCAAAATTCTGTGAAATGCATTTATTATGTAAGGTCCTTGTGCGTATAATCTCTTCTTCCAATGATGTGCTTGTGAACATCTGACACACTCACATGGTAATGCTAGCTTCACATAATACGCCAGCTGTTATAACTTAAGTGGAAATACCATACATGTACATGATTATTGATATTGCAGAACACTCTGGAATATTACACCTGTACTGAAGCTGTGAAACACTTTCTAGAAATAGAATAGACCTATTTTTCATTCATTTAATGTTTCTCTCCCAAACTGCTGGTTAAAAGTTATTTGATTTTAATAAATGCTATGCATAATGGCATCTCTATGGATGGAATCCTCTTTGCTTTCAAGTTGATGCTATGTTTCGAAAACCTCTGGTAAGCTTTAGTTTTCAAAAAAACCTTTTGTGCAAATTGTATGCATGGAATAAGTAAACAGGTCTGTTCATTTGTATTATATCGACAGGTCCTGCAAATCTTAGTTTTTAAGAGTGCATGATGCTGCACCTGTAAGTGCAATGCCATGAACAATTATTGACTTTCTTATTTCTGTCTTTATTTCTCAGGAAATCAACTGAAATCAGGAAGTTTGCCTTGTCTGAAGCTGTGAGCTGGACCTTCTACCAAACAGAGAGTTACAGGAGTCTATTTTTAAGGAAGACAGAGTCTAATTTTTCACAACAGAGAGTCTATTGAGATCTATATAGAAACACCACAACCAAAATACCTCAAGGAAAATTCAACATTGATTCTGACAATTAATGGAATCAGTAACTGACACTGCCATATATTCTGCAGGACCAAATAAACTTTCAACAAGGAGAAATTTATTTATTCTTTCTTAAATGACTGTTTTCATTCACTGGTACTTTGACTTGTCTGTGAGGAGTAATATTTGAGCCAAAAGAAGGTTATTTGTGAATTTTATGCCCTATTTTTGGATGTTCTTGTGCTTATTATTGGAGAATGAAAGATTTGACAACCATCTTCTGTGGGGTATCATCGGTTATCTGCTGCTGAGGCGATGCGCCTAATTCAGAGCACGGAGGAAAACAACAGAAGTGCTTGTTGGATTGGGACCGTTGCCTTGGCAACGCGATCAGAGGAACCACTGTGTGATTTCGCCCTCTCCTGGATCCGTTGGCGACGAAATTCGCAAGGATATGCAGCTAACACTGGAACTTCCCGTTGTTAATCCGTACGCGGCTCCACCGATACTTCGCATTATGACCAGAGAGACGCCCGTCGGCTGTCGACGAACGCGGCTTATGAAACCAGAGGTTCTGGCCAAGACACTGGGCAGCGCCCTCAACAGCCAAGAGAAGCTGTTGTTGGTGGACAGTCGTTCATTTTTGGAATACAATGTGGATCACATCCAGCATGCCATCAATATTACAGGCTCCAAGCTGGTCAAGAGACGCCTCCAACACAATAAGGTGAGTTTGGCCCGTGGCCTGTACCTTTAAAGCCCCACTGTCCTACTTGTAGCTACTTGCTCCCTCTATATAGAAAACTTCCCCAATCGGTGCCTGTTGGTCCCCCATGATCCTTTTTTTCTTATGTTAGTTGAGAGCTGAGTTAATGAGATAGCCACCTGTCAGTGACCTCGCTGTATGGTCTAATCCCTTCTGCCCGCGGCCTGAACCTTTAACTCTCGTAATTATAAAAGACCGGCAAAGAGACGTGGTGAGCTGCCTCGTGACTAAACCAACTGTAAATGAATGTTAGATGGAATTATACTCTTTTCACACTGGTTTTGCTTAACCCCGTACTTTGCTTAGCCCTGGACTATTTTTTTGGCTTTTCACACACGCTGTTTTTAGTCCCGTACTAGCGCCTATTCCGGAATAAGAAAACACCCGCTGTTCTCACTGCATTTCGTTAACCCCGGATATCGTGTATGTTATGATTGGACATACTTCGCATCTGGCCAGCTGCGATATGCTCCATTGCGTAGTACCGGACTATTTTTCGTTTCTGTTCTCATTCATTTGCTTAGCACCGCAATTGCGGGGTTAGCAGGAGTTAGCACCACAATTGCGGAGTTAGTCCTGCTATTTTGCAGGGTTAGTTAACCCCGTACTATAGGTGGGGTTAGCCAACTTTAGCCCACTTTGGTAAAAACCAGTCTGAACAGAAAGTGGAATAGGCTTAACCCCGTACTATAGGTGGGGCTAAGACCCCCCCCTTAACCCCACCTATAGTTCGGGGTTAAGCAAAATATTGCCAGTGTGAAAACAGTATGAGTCATTTTCAATGGTTTAACATGAATTTGTACTGCATGATAATAATAATAATTATAGGCATTTCTATAGCGCCGTCAATTTAGAAATTCTATTCCGAGCATATTAATTATTACCGCGGTTTCAGCCTAGTTGCCATTACAGTGCTCCAGCATTTCAAGGAATTAATTCCTACCAGGTACCCATTTACCTTACCTGGGCCAAGTGTGGCACATGAAGATTAATGCCTTGCCATAGGACATTGGTGCCAAATCAGGAATCGAACCATGACCATGATGCTGCTTGGATCTTTCAACAAAAAAATTCCTTGGGAAAAAGGAGATTAGGCTTATCCTGTGATATTGAAATCTTGTTAAATCAGCTCAATGAAACATAAGAATACAAAGAAGATAGACCAGCAAAATCACCTACATAAGTTAACACTTTTGTTATAGTTCTGATTAAAGCCTGTTTAAAAATTGTATACGCTTCACAACAACTTTTGTTGTCATATTCCTTTATTTAATTATCTAATTATGCAGCTGTAAATAGCTGTGAAGTGTGAGATCTTTTTCTCCTTCAATGGAATATTAAACAATTAAGAGGTCAGAAAGTAATTTGCATCCCTTGCTGATTGGAAGGTGCACCTGACCTGTGAGTGAAGTTGTTGGGGTCAGTGTTCCCCCAGCCGTCATTCAATAACAGCAGTCCTATGAGTAATTAATTACACCCAATCTAACTTCCAGTTAGGAAGATAAGTATGAGTCAGGGGTAACAGAGATCTCATTTAGGGGTGCAAATTGCGCCCCACATCTTACCCTCATAGCCCGATCCCTTTGGTAATTTTGTCAAGCTGGGTTAGATTCAGTGGCAAATTGGAACCATTAGCCAATTACTCATCCAAAGTCTTATTAGACTTCCTGGCTTTTTATACAGCAGAGTTTTTTTTCTTATTTACTTTGTAAATTAGCAATCAAGGCTTATATCAGGTGCAGTATTACTAACAGATGCAAAGTACATTCATTGTTTTTTTTATTATGGAGAGTTGTTGTTAGGGTGGTATGCCAAAGAAGAAGTGATTTCAGTACATTAAAATTTGCAATTTGGTGAATTTTTTTTTTTTTTTCGCTGTAGGGAAGTTTAAAAAGGTTAAGTCTTAGGGAGTTAGAGATGTCATTGTAAAAGTTATTTCTAATCACCTCTCAAGGAGTGACTTCAATTAAGATGTTTGACATATCTATAAAGTTACCTTCCGTATTATATGTTTCAAAATAATATGCAGAATGTATTACTATTTGCTTGGAAAGAATGAAAGAGACCATGCAGTTAACTGAACAATGTACTCTGTGGAAATTATAGGATGGGATATATCAGCGATTGAAGTTAAGGCTAAGAATTGAGAGAGGATTAGGCGGAGGTGAAATGATGAGATCTAACCGAAATCCTCACCGAATGCTTGTTTAGTCAACTGGAGTTTGCTTCCTATTTAAATGACTTCCATAAGTCAAAACTGAGTACTCTTTGGTTCAATCCCCAAGCTAAGGGGTTAATTGCGAGTCACCAAATCAATAAGAAAAGAGAAGAGGACCAAAGACAGAAGAAAAAGCAAGAGACTGCAGGAGACGGTTATGATAAACTTCTGAGTAATTGTCCCGTTCTTCCAATTTCCTGAAGGCTCGCAACAAAAGTGAGAGTGCAATTAACCGAACAATGAATTTGACTGGTAAACTGATGGGGGTAAATGAAGCGTACAATGACTGAGAAGTGAGTAGTAATTGGAGTTCATAATAGGCTGGGTAATAGTGATTTAATTGCCAACAGATACCGGTTTTACCAGGCAAGTATGCCGCCGTGGTTGGTGTGCAGCGTCTCTGTGGAGATGGGTGATGATGGTGCTGGAAGGCGGGTGTGAAGTTTGGTTTATAAATGATGAAAATTGAGTTGTTGAGGATTTATTGAAAAAGTTTAAAAAATGGATTGATGACAATGAGCAGTTGAGCACTGGTGATGGTAAGATATGAGATGGTGTGTAGAGTATGGAGAGAGGGCCAACTTGGATGGAGATGAATCATCAAGAGAAGAGGGAGGGAAGTAGGAGGAGGAGGAGGAGGAGAAGAAGAAGGATTTGGAGTACAGGAATAAGGGGAGGATGAAAAGGAGGAAGTATAAGAAGATGAGGGAGATTAGGAGAAGAAGAGTAGGAGTGATAGAAAGAAAGACAGAAGGGATAAGGCAAGGAGAAGAGGAGAAATGTGTAAACACATCTTGTATGCAAAGAAAAAAAAAATGTTAGAATGCAGATTTTGAGTAAAGTTTGTAAATTTGTTTCGTTCCCTGCACCAGGGTGCTTGAAGGAAGATAACTTGACTGTAAAACAAACTTCACAAAGAAAAAATTATAATGGAGCACTTAAGACATGACAAATATCAATACCTGTAGTAGGAAGAGAGTCCTGTACAATATAAAATCATTTCATTGTTATATACTAGAAAGCAGTGATTAATCACTTCTGAACCTACAATGTCAAAGGCATTTCTCATACCTTCACATATTGAACAGGGTAGTTCTCGAGAATATGAAATAGACCTCACTAGATGGGTACCTGTGGAGTTGTATGAATGATTGATGCATCCTATATATGGGGCGGAACCTTGTGAGCGGATCACTCTAAATGAATGACGATGAAATGAAAGATAGAGAGGCGAATGTGGTGAAAGAAATTCTCATTCTGGTGGAATTTGCTTTCATTTTCACTGAATTCTTTTCAGGATTTGTCAATCGAGGAACTCCTGCTTCCTTTTCCATTTATCACGATGGAATCATTCAAACTTGAGACCCAGTTTCCAAACCAAAATGGAAAGCAGAGTTATGAAAATTTTCATATTATCAAAATAAGTTTCAATTTCAACAAAAACTGTTATGCCTACCGGTAGTTGAAAATATTTTAACTGACAAAATTAATCTCTACATACAAGTAGAGAGTTATTTTAAAGGACTTAGTGGCAATGACAACAGATCTTCATATAAATGCAATGGTTGCAAAATATACATCATATAAACTGTGATGATGTATGTTTTGCAGGCATTTGTCATCTTTTCAACTGCAGATCTTCCCTTTAAGCTGACTCCTAAGATGGAATGTTATTTGGATGGTCAAATTTGTTGGTCAAGTACACAGTAGCTCTATGTAATGCTACCAGTGCCATTTGAGGTTAGGTGCCCGCAGTGACTCATGAACACAAACATCTCCTTACCTAGTGACCTGCAGGCATGAATATTCATTAGATATTTAAATGAATTAGTAGGTGTGTTCTTGGTTAAATGCATGCCTTTGATGATTAGTTTGATATTCAGAGGCACATTAGCATACATGTACATGTGCATTTGATATTAAGTACATGTAAACTAGCGAGTGCTATTTTAAAGTTGACTATTAACATTTGATTGGTATTATCTTTAAGTTGACTATCAAATGAATATTCATGAACATGAAGATTTGCATACAGTATGATCATGTATGATCATTTCATCAGCTGAACCCTGGAAAGACATTTTAAACATAAATGTTCTCAATGAAGAGTTTGTTATTACATGTACAGTATGTACATGTACCTTGACATGTGGGGATGGGGTATAGTACCACTGAAAATGTGGTGATGGGCATTATAAAATAATGAATATGCATACATGTATGTACATAAATAGTCATGAATATTCATCATTCATTTAAATACACCCCCTTTCGTGGTGTGAATAACACTTCTCAGTATGCATGCATATCTTTTGAGTCAGTTAAGCCATTGTTTGAATTTGATATGGTCGTGAATCATGACCAAACCATGCATCACTACTAGTCATATCCCTATGAAGATTCATGCTTGGATTTTCCGACCATTTCAAATAATCATGAATATTCATTATTTACCCTCTATTTTTGTGATGCCATTTTCTAATAAAATAACAA